TCTTTCAATCATCTGGATAAATCCATTCTTCGAAAAGTATTTTGGGTTATATTCGAGAAGTTTCTTAAATGGATAACGAACACGAGAACACCACATTTCTGGTGTTTCATCACTATACCTATATTGCAGATTATTTAACGCCTGCACTACTACAGGATTCAAACCAGAATAGTTAGTTTTAACCATTTTACAGGTATAAAGAGGTTTATAGCAATTTACGATTTATAGCAGTTTTAAAGATTTATAGCAGTTTGTAGCTAGTATTTATAATAAAATATCAGATTCATTTTTATTCGAAACCAATGAAGGTGCTGTGCATACATTATATATATTCACATATGCATGTAGAGGATCTTTGTAGATTAACAGATTCGGTTAAATTAGACCCGATCACCGTGGACGGCTAAAATATAAATTTGTATCACATGAGATATCCCTCGTTCCACGACAGTTCCACGACACTTTCATGGCGCTGAGTGGTTTCTCAAATCACGGGTGATCGGCCAATCAGATTTCGGATTTTTTCTTTAGCCGGATAAGTATCAGTATTAATGTAAAAAAAACACTATTTTCCGGGCCTGGACACCATGCCACAAGGGCGCAGTACTATGTGGCACAATAACAGTGATTATCTACGGAGCATTTTAGCGATTACATATTTAATGTCATAGATGATAGTGAAAAAGTTTATAACTTAATGATGCTGAAAGCCGGAGAAAAAATTTTGCCAAGATTTTGATCGTTACCAATGGTAACGGTTTACATGGTATTTCGCTCTTCTAAACGGAATGTGCACACATGAGATTTTTAGATAAATGTTATTTATTGATTCGGGCTTTTGTGGCTGTGCATTTACAATGTGTTTCCATACTGATGAACTTTCCTAGGAGTTCTGGTATGTTCTATCTCACTCATTACACAGTTCTGAATTACTAATAAAAAAACACATCCTGATTTACATGCGGATCGTAAGACAGGGCGTCTTTTTTCCCGAACTAACTTGGCCAAGAAGGTTCGTCCATAGGTTCGGTAACTGGGTGTTGAGTCTGTTTGCAAAAAGGTCCACTTGGAATGGTCTCCATATTCTGTTGAGAGAAGAGAAAATCGTCGGATCCAACATCTAATCGTGTCGATCCAGATCCATCCTCGAAGCTCGATCGGCCATGTCGTTGCTGATTCCCGGAATATGTTGTGCCTTTACTACTTTGCTTCTGAGATCAAGGAATAAAATAACATTAACGTCAAATACCATGCTTCAATGAATCTTAAGCATTATCTTGCTACAAACCTTCGGTTTCTGTGGAGATCTATATTCTTTCTTTCTATCATGCACTGCGACTCTTCCAAGGGTTAGTTTTTCCTTTTCTGCTCTTTCCTTCATACGTTTAAACTGAGAGATAGTAGTTGATAACAACCTCTGCAAAAAATAAGGCAAGCAAATGTAAAGCCGTATTAAAGACTCTGGGGATGATTAAAGACTTTGGGATGCCACTAACCTTAACTTGAAGCATTATACGCGAAATCCTAATGGTATATTCAAGTTCTTCATACTTGGTTGGAATGTCAAAGTCCGCTAAATTTAGTGACGAATAATATCCTTCTCCTACGTAGATAATCAGAATTGCACGCATAAAAAAATATGACGAAAGGAATCCGGGCATGAGAAGTTTGGAGCTAGCTCGTAAAACTGGTTTCGAAAGCATTCCTCCGCCTTCAATAGATATTGTTTTGATTAGGGTCTGATGCATGTCTCTCAAAGTTTTTTGCACCTTTAGGGTATTGGAAAGAATTTTTGGTTTGTCCTCAATCTTGGAACCAGTACGCTCACAAAGTGAGAATTCACGACCCCAAGATAAATTCGTACCTAAATTATGTTTCTGTAAATTCAAGTTAGTAAACGTTCAAGTAACTGACAATAAAACCTTTATCATACCGTAAACATCCAATCAAAATGATAACCTTCTGTATTGGTTGGTGCATCCGTTGCTTCTGCCCGGCGATCCCGAGAAGCCCTCGATACTGCTTCTCCACTTATTAAGAAAAACCGTAAGCACTATTATTAACAATGATGATAATTATAATGGAACTTACAAGTGACTGTCCAGAATATCATCTAAACATGAAAATATGTGTCGTTTTATAAACATGTCGATATCCCGCTCTGTGTTTTGTCTCTGGGGGATCCCTTTGGCAATCATTTCACATCTGGTTGAAATTATGAAATGTAAATGTCTGAAGTCGTGTACGTGATTAAATTCTGAACTATCAAATGAACTCGAATTAAGTCAAATGTATAAGCGACGTCTGGATTTAGATGATCTTCGAGAGCAAGCAATGGAGTCTCTTCATTAGCACTTATATCATGTTCATTGTCAAAAGTGTCTTCATCGTCAAATAGATCATCAGGTTCTGAAATAGTTTGCTTCTTAATGTCTTTCAACATTTCTTGGAGTTCGAGAATAGCTCCATACGTTCCCTTAGGCCTTACAATTTCTCCGATCATACGAAGCTGATCACTATTAAGCTGAAAACAAAAGACACATATTAATAATAAAATTCAGTTAAAGAAATGAAATACTTAATCGTGATCATCTACCTTCGTGAGAGACTGTAAACATCTCTCTGTTGCAGGATCTAGCACGGTCCAGTTTTTTAAGGAAGATGAAAAAATTGCACTCAGATCTGATAATTCTGTTTCCGACAAAATATCTAAAGTTTTCGGATCCGATAAATCTACGATCCTCCACCAGATTGGTCTAAGGAAAGAACTTGTTAGAATCCTGATATCATCAAAGGCATTTATCCAACGCTTACTTTAACGACGATTCATATCTAGCTGTTAGATCATTATTTGAAAATAGTATGCGACGTTCCTCTACCACTTTTTCTAGCCAACTTGGTCGCAGTGTGTCGAATTCCCATTCAATCGGAGGATCATCATCTGCAACCTATGCATACATCAAAGGGTTCGTGTGTCATTTGAAGAGCACGTTTCGTGCTAAAAGTTAAAATAAATATAATACCTCTGTTGGATACTCGGGCATTTGTAGCTCGTCTCTACGTTGACGTTTGTATGAATGATCATCCTGTGTTTCTGAGGGTCTCGTAACCTTTTCTCGCACATGATCTGCCTCCTTTGAATTTTCACCTGTAATAGAGTCGTTTCTTCGTAATTGACTAATAATTTCCCGATTCTGTCGCTGATCCTGAAAAATTATTGATAAGTCCATTGCGAAACTTGTTTTCAAGTTTTCTTAAACTTACCTTTAAAACTTCTACTGTGTAGGCGGAAGTGACATTCACTCTCATTTCCGCGCGAAGTTCAAGTTCGTTAATATATTTTCTCACTTCGACCGTGGATAAATTTGTATCAAAATTAGATAAGATTTTCTTCACTTTATTTCTTGCGTGAGCGTGAATATTGCATTTTTTGCTATATCTCTGTAATACTGCGTATAAATCATCTTTGAATTCCTTGAACGTATCTACAGATAATTCTGGAAGTGCTGATTTTAATATTTCGAGGACCGACCAATCTTTATGTAATGTTGTATCGAGATATTCACTTATAATTGTTTCAAACATCTAAAAACAAATGCAGATAATTAGCCGTCTATTCATTTGAAAACGAACTGAAAGAATTGATTGACCTTATTAAAAATAATTTCTGTCGCGAGTTAGTAATTTTTTTACGATTTGAGAAAATGTAGACGATCACGTCTAAAATAAGTGAGTCACATGACCCTGAGCCCAAACGGATAAACAGAATTTTTTATTATCTGTTATTCAATTTTATTCACAGTCACGCGTATCCCTACTGTCGTTAGGCCAAACCTTCCTGCGTTCAGATGCTTGGAGGCAGTCTGCCGGGCTTTTCTTAAGCATACATGTTTAAGGCCTAGTCCCTGTATGCTGTTTTTTCCAGGATGCGTTCACTATACCTACTGTCGTTAGGCCACACCTTCCTGCGGTCAGATGCTTAGAGGCAGTCTGCCGGGCTTTCCTTAAGCATACATGTTTAAGGCCCAGTCCCTGCATGCTATTTTCCAGTATACAGTTGACTGTGACATAAAATCACTTTTATCATTTACTATAGTATAATTACGGAAGTATTAGCAACTGAGGTAAAAAAATAATAAATAACGATTTACACTTACCATCATGATTCATTTTCACATAATTCCATTCCGCCTCATACACAAGATATTTATTGCTTAATTTTTTCTGCGTTATCGCCAGTACGATACTGCGCAAAGTTTTAGGAATTCGGCACGTGAAGGTGCTTATATAAGTTAAATGTTTTGATGCACTGCGCCAGACTTTTGCTGTGCCGTTGCATGTGACGAGATTCATGTGAGTAATTTCACTGCGTCTAT